GTTAATGGGTTAATGTTGGACTTGTGGGCTTGGGCAGCATTGGGTTGGGATGTTTTCGTGATGCACCTTTTCTTTACATAAAACTCTTTCTTATACATGAGTTGCTGTGGATTTGTTTCTCCTAAGTACCTAGACTAATACATTAGATCATAAGTAATCTAATTCTAGGCACCTACGGGGGGAAAAGAAGAAAAAGCCGTTTTAAGAGCTTAGCACAATAATAAATGGCAGGTTAAGAATTTTAAAATATACTGAATAGTGTTTATAAAGTACAACAGTACTGTAATCAAAATACATCAAGCTTTAATCTCTTAGGAGGGCAGCCCAAGGAAACAGATGTTATCTTTCAACCATAAACAGATGTTAAAATTAAAAAGTTTTGAGCTACCTCACCTCTTCTTGAATATACTGTAACAAGAAGGGAGATGCTCTTAAATTATCAACAGGAATATTGAAGAAGCCCTGAATTTCCTTCTGGTGCAAGTCCATAGTAATAAGGTGAGTTAGACCTTTGAAAATAAAGGAGACACAAGCATATAGTTTAATAACCATCACAGTGGATGAAATAAGCACTACACAAAATACAATACTACATAAAATAAATTACTGTGAAAGGATTACTCTTCAATCACAAAAATGCAGCACCTTGATTTCTCAGAATTCTTAATCCTGGAAAATGCACGATCTTCACACTGATTTTAAATCTGGAACTACCCAAGAGGCCCGTGATGAGGCAACGTCTCTGATCGCTCTGTTGGAGCAGACTGCATCTCCTTTGTCCTTAACAGGTCCTGGCAAGGCCCATGTCTGAAGGGGTTAAGACAAACAGCACTGGCCCGGATCGTGGCGAAAATGAAGAGCCACACCCCTACTGCCTCGCAAAAGGATATTTGAAATGATCATCAGGAAAGTCTTAAGAAAAGCTAATAAGAAAAAAATCTAAAGGCAAAACTTGCCCATCAGAGCAAGAACGCAAGCCTCGTGACCCAGGAGCCAAGCAAGAAGAGAGGGTCAAACCCTCCCAAAAGATTCCGTGAGCGAGCACGCTCCTCCCTCCCTGAAGACCGCTCCTTGCCAGCGTCTGCAATGGGCATCCTGCTCAGGGTGCCAGGGCGTAGGCTTCTCAAACTGTTTCCTTTCTGCTGCTACATTAAGAAAATGTCCTCTTCTGTGTCTTGTGTGAAAATGTAGTGATATAGGGAGGTTTTCTTCATTCTTTAGTCTTTTCTGCTCTGTCCAAGTGCTCTGTGAGACAGCCGTTCTTTGATCATCCACAGACATGTGCATGCACATGCGTCCACACACACACCAGCACATGCACTGACTGCTAGGAGCATTCTTTAAGCTAGGAGAAAATACCGAACATAAAAGAACACATTTGGCTGGCAAGAGATGTTACTCATCCTGGGAAAGTGGGAGCTGAAATGAAAAGTGGCTGCTTCAGACGACTTGTTCTCCTCTTAAAAATGACTTCAGTATGATCATCACTAGTCGATGGAATCTAAACTTTAAAGGAGTTCTCATTTCCTGTGTTTTCGGGAGTTGGGGAAAAGATTTCTCTGCAAGACAACTACCTTATTTCCCTGACATAAACTACTTGTGTTTAAAAGCTGCATTGGTCTGCTTACTCTGCTGAGTATTCTGATTCCCCTAGGACAACGTCTGAACGTTTCTAAAATAAAAATAAAACTGCCGGCACACCACCACCACCACCCCCACCACCCCACCCCACACACACACCCATTCACCACTCTCCGCCACTCCTACCCGCTTTGCACATCATGGAAGCCAGCAACTTGGAAACAATGGAACCTCTCTTTCTCATCTTGCACTGCTTGCTGTAAGGAAAGTAGGGAATCACGCCGATGATGCTTTTGGCACAAGAGGTCTTGCAGGCATACACCATGATCAGGAGCTCCATGATGGTGGTGTTCACGTCCCTGGAACCCAAGACACAGAGAGACCCCCCAACGAACGTGAGCTAGGTGGTCAAACTGTCACTAACACAAGAAAACATCAGATATGTGCTGCACCTGCCTCGACTGAGACTCAGAGGATAAAAAACAGTAAACACTCACTGCCATCGAGCTAATTCTGACTCATCTGACCCCATAGGACAGAGTAGAACTGCCCCCCTGGGTTTCCAGGAATTTAAATCTTTACGGGAGTAAACTGCCTTATCTAACTGCCGTGGGGCAGCTGGTGGGCTTGTACCGCTGACCGTGTGGTTAGTAGCTCACGGAGCCACGAGAGCTCCTGGGAGTAAACACAGTAGCTAAGAAATCCCTCTCACCAGTTCTTTCTCACAGCCCTTCTCAGCTAGCGACTCTACCTCCTTTCTCACTGAGAAAAGTGCCCAGGTAGAGATCTCCCACAGGCTCCCACCCCCTTGGCACCTGCCACCTCCTAACTCCGCCGTGCCTTTCCTCGTCACGGAATGATGCACTCGTACCCAGGCTCCTGCCTCGGCACGTCTCCTGCTCTTGCCTCCATCATCAGTTTGTCTATACCCCATCAGGTCACATCCACCAGCTTGTAAACAATGCTACTTCTTCCATTAAAAAAGCAAGTCTATGACCACTCCTCATTTCTGAGAAGCCTTTATATCACAATGCAAGAGTTATCCCCACTCTAGTTGAACTCTCATGCCCTCCTAAACTTGATCGTCCACGGAAAGTGTTGCCCCTGTGACGCCACCAAAGCTGTTTTGAGCAAATTCCTCAGCAACCTCCATCATGGCTAAATCCAAAGGTCAAGTCTGTTTGGATGCATCAGCAGGACCTGACACATCCGATCCTCCGCCCTTGACGGACTTCCCTTCCAGAGCTCGGCTCGGCTTTCCCCTGCTCTGCTTGGTGCTCCTCCGCTTGCATGTACGGGTTCTTTCTCCCAACGCTCTCATTCTGGGTCGCCCCAGGCCTCTTCCCATGGTCGCATGGTCGTCTTCTCCTACTCTCTCCTCGTACCCAGCTTAGGCCGACAACTCTCGGGACTGTATCTTCAGCCCAGGCTTCTCTTCGGAGCTCCTGTCTGACAAACTCAAATGCTACTTGACAGTTCCACTTGAATGTCTGTCTACCAGTCAAACCAAAATCTAACATACCCCAAACAAAGTCTAGCTCTTTCTCCCTCCCTTGACCCCAAAGCCTACTGGCCCATAAGATCGTTGTGACTACAACTGATGGCAAGACTCTTCTTCCAGTTGAACGAAAACCTTCCAGCCCTCCTTGCCGCCTCTCCTAACCAGAAATGTATCAAGACTCACTACTACAGTAGGACCTTCCTGGTCTGAGCCAGTCTCACTTCTCATAGCTCGTCCTGCTCTTCCTGGAGTTCCCCTCCCCTGTTCTCTCCACAGTCCCTCATCGTGACCTTCTTACCCTGCAAGCTGGGTCATGAACTCCCTGCTCCCAACTCTGGTTTGCCATCTGGCCAACAGCAAATCCAAAGGTCTTACAACGGTTCACAAGGCCGCTTGCAACCCAGCCCCACATCCACTCCCATCCCAGCTCCTCCCACCCCCTCTTCTCTGCAGTTCATGGTAATCCTCAGACTGCTGCTCACCCCACCCCAGGCGTGTACTCGCGCTACTTCTGCTTCCCTCCCCAGCTCTCGTCTCACCAACTCCCTCCCCGACTTGACCATTTGACCCAAAGGAGCCTTGCCCTGCTTAGTTTTCCTCCACCCTCTCACCACCATCACGCCTCGCTGCCTGCATATGCATTCTGGTTTTGTCCCACAGCACTGATGGCTCTCCACTAGCTTAGATAACTCACTTATCTGTTACACCAATCACATGGCTTCTCCTCGAGAAAGAAGCTCCATAAGAACTTTGTTCGATTATTACAGCATCTCACACACCCACAACAGTGACTAGTGTGTAACAGACACAGAAATATTTAGTAATAAACGACGGAGTGGAAAGGAAGAACAATTAAGAAGCAGGTGCTCTGCGAACACAGGGCAAGCCTGACACCTGGAGAGTGAAGGGAGTCTTTCAGGAAAGCATTCCGCCAGACAGGTCAGAGCTGATGACTCAACGGTGAGCAGACCCACACCCCAGTCCCTAAGCTACGCTCCCGCAAGCACCATTTTTCTGTGGGCGGGGCAAGGCCACTAAACACAAATAATTAAGTTTTGTTTGAATGACGGGGAAAAATTAAGTTAATAGACTGCATCTTCTTAACTTCGATTTTTCTTTCCCCCAAGAATTTCTTCAACTTTTAGTACCTATGAAAGACGCGGTGTAAGATTACAGGGCAATGGGGGTTTCTTTATATATATGACCCTTCTGGCCCTGGCTTTGTAATTCTTCCAGAAACGATGAGTTGGGCCAGTCTGCCCTGTCATTGGTCTCGTTCACTCACTTTGCAGCAATTGCCCGGTTGCTAGTCAGAAAAGCAGACTGTGAAACTACCGGGGGAACTGTCGGTGTTTTTGCTGGGAGGGCAGACACGACAAAGGTTAACTTCTATCAACAGCCAACCCCGCAGAGATCTTTGGGCGGGGAGGAAACCTCTGAAAAGAGCTGTAATTGGAGTCAAGGATGACAGGTACCCAGTAGGGGCCCAGTAGCAGAGAGGTGACGGTCACAGGGTCAGAATGAACAGGGTCAGAATGAGGCCGACGGCAAAGGCAGCGGTGACCGCAGGGGGCGACTGCTGTGCAGGCAGCTGAGAGCCTACAGTTGGCAGACAGCAGTGCTCTGAAGGAGGCAGGGCTTGGAAGAGCCTCCTGAGC